AATATCAGAACATGAAGCACATTTAAATATGTTCTAGATAACAAATTCAAACCGAACATTGAACACATCTATGTTGCAAACTAAGTTCAGATTATCAGTGAACACTTTAGTTTCACAAATTGGAAACTGGTTCTAAAGAAATAAAACAGATTAATCAAGATCTAAGACTGATTTCAACATAAAGATACAAAAGCGAGAGAGAGAGAAGGATCAACGAAATGGAGCCATGCCAGCCATGAATTCCACAAGCCTATATAGAGAAAGAGGAGCTTTGTTGATTTTCTCATAAAATGCCTCTTCAATATCACAACATTGAACTTGCTCTGAGTTCTCCTTACCAGAAAACGGTAAAACTGCAAATTATAAAAACAAATCTTTATTCAGTAAAATTCACCCAATTAAAAACCTATTCAAATGAGGGAAAAAAACAAAGGACAGAGATCGTCGCTGAATTTGTAACCTTGACATTAAGCTTAGGGTAGACATCATCTGACTTTGGAGTTGTCCTCTTGGTCTTCTTGTCCTTGCCTCAAGCTATCAGATCAATACCCTGCAAACACGATATATCATTCAATCTCAAAATCAACCTTGGAAGCAAGGTTCAACCTCAAAGAAAACTAAGAGAGATGAATCATTCACACTCTAATCCAAAGCTTAAATGTCACAAGAAAAGACCAATCCACATTCCAATACAACTACGTAAATGATAGGAACCATCCAAAATCCTTTGTAACTTCAATATCAAACTGAAAAACAGGAAAAACTTGTAGATGAAATGAAGATTGGAAGACAGAGGAAGCGAGAAGCACCATTGTCGTCCGGCGTTGTAATCGCTAACCTTGTAAGTTGAAAGATTTTTTAATAGAGAACACTTCAATAACAAACTAAATCATTGTGGAGAATTATGATGAACCTCATAAAGAACAATTTGATAACAGACTAAATAAAATTTGAAGTTATGAATCCATTCGTTTGATATAATTCAAGTTCTTTATCAAACTTATTCCAGTTGTTAAAATAAAAACTGAGAATTTGTTGTGACATGTGAATGAATGATTAAACAATGATGAATAAAAAAACCAGAATTGGGAAATTAGAAATCAGAATTTGTAAATTGCAAAAAGAAGAGACATGCGATTTATGAAACCCTAAAATCAGAAGATGCAAGAACTTCAATTTTACACCCGATAAAAGTTGGAGGAAACCGGAATCAGAAAAGGAAGAGATTTGGAAGCTTTTTGTGTGAATTCATGTTGTTCCATTGTTGAAGAAGATAAGAGAAGCGAAGTGGAGATATCAAGATCGTGGAGGAGGCGAAGCAATTGTAAAAGAGGATTATTATTTTTCTGTCGTGTATTTTTTTTTTTTAATGAGAAAAGTAAAAATTGTTTTAAAAAATGAAAGTATAAAATTTGTGACTTAATCCACGTGGCAGATAGATAGAGTTGCAGTTAATAGTAAAATGACTTGTGAATTATTAGATAAGGATTATAAATGAGTTTTTTTCATTCCTATTTAAATATCTGAAAACAGAGAAAAAAAAAACAAAACTGAAATATTAATTTGGATTTAAATCTCTCCGGCCCCTTTGGGGGAAATCAATTTTTGGAAAACCCCTCTTTATTCTCACAACTCCCTCTCCTTCCTAATTTTTTCATAAACCAATTATACCCCTTATCCTTTTAATTCTACATTTAATTTAATACCAACACATTTTTTATTCAACCAATCAAAAATTTTCTCTCTCTTCTCTCATTAAAAAACAAACCTACTAAATATCTCACCTTTTACGATTGCAGATTTGTTGAAATATTTTAGGATTGCAGATTTGGGACAACTGGAACCACTGGGTAAAACTAAGTAGAATATTTACGGAAACCCTAAGTTTGGTGCAACTGGGACAAATGTGTACAACTATGTTGATGGTCTGCTACGAAAGTTATGAAATTATAGGCCGTTTTTTCTCTCTTTCTTTTTCAGGGACAATGAAAAGGAATTCAGTCATACGCTTTGCTTATGACGGATACTATACAAGTATCGGAGAAGATGTACATTGGATTTCTAATGCAGAAGATGAAGAAGTGCATTCTTTTCTTATGAATAAATCGAAAGGGGGACTATCCGGTTCCCCATAATAGTTAATGGGTTCTTCCTGAGGAGATAAAGCAACTGTTTGCTTATCCTCCGGATTATAAGGTAAAACAAGGAAGAAGACAAGAAACAAGATTCCTCTCCGTTGGAGAACATAGAGGAAGAGGACGTAAGAAGAGGTCACATGGATCGAGCGGTTTGGGCGAGTGGTTTACCAATAATGGTGACGTTGATGGAGACGATGCGGGTGACCAAGGTTGATTTCTCAGTGCTATTTATTAGGTAAATTTAAGAAACGATGGTGTTTGTATTGGTTTTGTTTGTGAAACTTATATGTTCTGTGTTGTACAACTAAGTTTTAGCAAGTATAACTATAGTTTATTTCTTTCTCGTATCTGTGCAAATTTTGTCAATCTTGGTACAACTAAGTACCACATGTACAACTAAGGTCTAATGCCTTGGCCAATTTTCAGAATTTTATATAATATGAAAATTTAAAACTAAATTAAAAAAACTTAAAAAAGGCATACACGATGGTAATGAAATTACACAACAAGTTTTTAACAAAAAATTTCATATTTTTAAAAAATATTGAAATTCTTATTCAAAATCCCACATTCATACACTAACAACCTTATACTTTCATGGTTACTTTGTAGATTTGAACTAAAATTTTATAAATTTTTGAAGTACTTGTATTTTGATAAATACAAATGCATAGATACAAAGTAATGGTATTTTTATGAGGCAATACATTCGGTTCCACCAACAAAAATTAAATTAGAGTTGATAACAACTAGATTTACTAAAATCTTTGTATTGTACAACTATGAGCAAAAATGTGCAACCGAGTACAACTGTACAACTATGAACAAATCTATGCTATTATTTAATAACATTTTTCAAAATGACGGCGCCAGGTATGCCATTTGTCAGAATTTTTTAGATATTTAGATATTTCCAGATATTTTTAGATATTTCACTGTTTTTTTTTTGGTTCAAAACGCTTAGATTATATTCAATACATAGATTGATACATAAAAATTTAAGATTCAGATTAAAAGATTCATACATAATTGGATTCAAATTCAAAGATTCATACATAATCAAAAAACATAAACCCAGAAACATAGTTGTACCTAATCGTACCAGTTGTACCTAAACACTTAAATTTATACATCAACATCAAAGACCAGAATACAAGCGAAACTCATCATCAGAGACCAAAATAGGAGCTGAGCTCTTCTCTTGCTCCATGTGCTTCGCCTGCTCTTGCTACATCTCCTTCTCTTTTTCCTTCTCTTTCTCTTTCTTCAATATCAAACATTCAAAAGCAATCTTAAATTCTACCTAAATAATACAGATGGTTTTTGGTCACTATGAAACTCTCATTGTCTAAACCAAGACAATAAACGAGCAATCCAAACACAAACTCACATAATCTCATTATCTATCTACATAATTATAAGAGATAAAGTTTGGGTTTTCAACAAATTTCAAATCCGAAACACATTTAAACACATTTTGAATCGGAATCCTTTTGAATCTATCTAAAGTAATTAAAATCTGAAAATAGAGAGAAATTCAAATCAAAAATTGGGACAAATTCAATCAGAAAATTACAACAAATTCAAATCCGAAAAATCATCCGTTTCACAAACAAAACCCAACAAAATCCATCGAAATCAAACAAAAGAAAGAATGAGAATGAAGAATTTATAGCTTACAAGAAAGGAGACGAAGGAACGTGGATTTGGATTGGATTTCTAACAAAGAATTTCCAACGAGAAGAAGAATGAAGGTTTCGATTCGGAGAGAAGAGGGAAGAAAAGAAGGTTTGCCGGCGACGAGAGAAGAACGACGGAGAGATGAACGGCGATTAGTCGGTTTTTTTGAGAGAAAAGGGGAAAAAAAATTAGAGTTAGGGATTTGATTTTGGGACTTTACGTTTTTGAGATTTTTGGGGTTAAATGATCCAAAATCTGACCCAATATATGTGGATCTAGATCCAAATTGAAGTTGGGTCGGTAAATAAGTTGAAAACCCAAGTTTTATTTGTCTTTTACTCTTTTCCAGAATTAAAATAATTAATTTAACACAAATTTTTTATTTGGAGGGCTAACTAGAGAATGATTTGAGGAGAGGGGGCGATGAGAATTTTATCCTATTAATTTTTAAGAAAAGTTAGATTGCAATTCTTGGGTTTATCGCTAGGGGTAAATCTTTTATTCACATCATCTTTTTCTAATTAGAATCTGCCATTTAAACAACAACAAAAATAAATTCAACTCATTTATTGTAAAATCTAATATACAACCAAAACAAAGTTATATATTGGTTTGAGTTTATAAGAGAGGATTGAGTTTGAATTTTACAATTAAACGATGTTAAATGTCAGTTTGGGTTTATAATGAACGATTAGAGTTTAGATTTTATAATTAAACGAAATGCAAAATGCACTCAATTCGTGCGGTGTCCATTAGTGATTAATGCTGGATAAAATAGATGCTTTTTGTTCAAGTTGATCCGGTACATACGAAAGCTGCCATGCCTACAGTTTTATATTAGCGAAGAACTAGTATGATCCGGTACATACGAAAGTAAGAACTTGTTTTAGTTGCCTAATTGTGAACTATATGCTTAAATTATGATACAAATTAAAAAAAAAAAGATATTGAAGTATTCTAAAGTATTGTTCAGACCAAGATCCATCTGGATTGCAATACAATTTGATATAATTTATATGATATGTATTATCTTATTATATAATGCTGAGTCGTCTGTTTGGGATTATTCAAGAATAGAGACGAAACTGGTAACATGGTGGTGGTGGTTACCATTATAAACAATATTTTTAGTCTGTATATCATCTTATTAAAATGCAAAGTCAAAGTCTGTTGGCTTTAATTGGGTCCCTATAAAAACCTACTTAGGCAAGAAAAAGAGAGAATTATTTTAATTTTGTTACAAAGAAGAAAAACAAAAAGAGCAGATCCAATTGATCTCAAGATCGCATCTAAATCATAATATATATCATGATCAAAGAGGAGACCATTTCATGCTTCAATCCTTTCGATGGTGTTATGGCAGAATCTGACAAGGTAAAACTAAAAAACCATTTGCTTAAACCACAAATTTCTCTAACTGTTGTTTTCAATCTCCTTCTGGTGTTTCAATCGGTGAGAATTAATCTCATGTTCATATGAATCTGTTTTTGCATATATATTTTTACATATTGTTACCAATTAAGTCTTATGTCTGAAATTAGTACAGGTTTACTGCATCTAATAAAAGTCAACTTGCTTGTTCGGAAATGGTCTCGACTCTCGAGTATGAAAGTTCATTATTTTGTAGCATGTTTTGCATAAACATACACCACAAACAAAAATAATACATGCTTTTGATTATTTTGGGACGGTTATTTAATGCTCAAGGATACCAAGATTTATTCCGGTATTTAAATTTTTCGAATGGAAACATGTAATTAAGATCCTCTCTAGCCTCTAATTAATATAGGTCGAATACAATTTTATTTTTTTGTTCTTGGCATTCGTTCTCTGTTTATTCCTGTAATACTCATTCACCTTGTCAGTTTGTGTGTGGTTATTGAAAACTATTTGTCATAAAGTTTAGAAATAGTTGGTACAAAAAAAAAATTATTTGATATATGTAAACACTATTGTATGGAAGGTGAATATAAATGTGTCTTGGATATTTACAGGAAGAGGAGCTTGATGTAACAAAAGCGAAGGTGGAGAAAGTTAGGGAAGAAAATGAGAAATTAAAGCTCTTACTGTCTACGATTCTTAATAATTACAACTCTCTTCAAATGCATGTCTCTAACGTTCTCCGAGAACAACAAAGAGCTTCTATGGAGCTAGATCAAGACAAATATAACGATTTTGATGTAGATATATCACTTAGGCTTGGAAGATCAGAGCAAAAGATCTCTAAAAAGGAGGAAAAGGTGGACAAGATTTCTAATGAGAACAAAGAGGAGTCAAAAGATAAAAGATCTGCACTGGGTTTAGGATTTCAGATTCAAAGTTATGAGGCCTTGAAATTAGATGATCTTTGTAGACAGGTTAAGAATGCAAACGCAGAGAATAAGTGTTTATCTTCGAGGAAAGATGTCAAAACAGTTAGAAATGAAAATCACCATCAAGATGTTTTGGAAGAGCATGGGCAAGCAGGTTTGAAGAAAACTAGGGTTTGTGTTAAAGCATCATGTGAAGACCCATCAGTACGTACCACCAAACCATATATATGTTTAATTACTTTAGCATGTAACATCTCTAATTAGTTGATCATATTGGCAAACGTTACATGGATTTATAGATAAACGACGGTTGCCAGTGGAGGAAATATGGTCAAAAGACTGCGAAAACCAATCCTCTCCCACGAGCCTATTACCGTTGCTCCATGTCGTCAAATTGTCCCGTTAGAAAACAGGTATAATACATTCTATAATATCTCAATCGAAATATCTATTAATTGTCAATTAGTTTTAAATAAAAACTTTTAAAACGATGTTTATAGGTGCAAAGATGCGGAGAAGAAGAAACCTCCGCTTTTATGACAACATACGAAGGAAACCATGACCATCCTCTTCCCATGGAAGCAACCCACATGGCAGCTGGAACTTCCGCGGCTGCCTCCTTATTACAATCTGGCTCCTCCTCCTCCTCCTCATCCACCTCCGCGAGTCTAAGCTATTTCTTCCCTTTTCACCACTTCTCTATCTCCACAACTAACTCCCACCCGACCGTAACATTGGACCTCACACGACCAAACTATCCCAATCAGTTACCAGACGACTATCCTCTATCGTCCTCTTCTTTCAGTCTCAACTTCTCCTCTCCTGATCCTCCACCTCAATCATCGCACGATAACACCTTGAACTTTAGTGGCTTGCGAACACAAGCTCCTTTGAGTACAGATTCCTTATTGGCCCGTTATCGAACGAGACTTTCCGGACAGCAGTAAGCCAGTAACTGTGTATCGGTATAGCTAGACACAAGTCTGGAAAGTAACTCATGATTTTCTGTTTTCTTTGTCATTCATTCGTTTTTCAGCCTCTGCATTTATACTTGTAGATAACCAAATGTTTAAATTAGTGGATTACCTATCATATCATGGATTATATGCATATGAAGGTTTTGTAAATTAATTCTGTTCTACACAACAATTTAATACACAAAATATATTTAATGTTTTAAATATATTTTTCTGGTGAATTAGGTAAGTATGTATGACTATGATGACAGAATGACATCTAAAAGGGAAGGTGGTTTTCGTGCAGATTGAAAAAATCTCCCTTTTTCAATTTTGCAAAATTGTGTGATTTTACAAAATAAACTTAGTAAGCATCACATAAAATACTGTGTTATTTGACAAAATATCAATCATATATCACAAGCGATTTTATAAAATAACGTAAACTATAATTTGGAAAATTTTAGTAACATGACATTTGGTAAAATAGTGTTGTATTTGGCGAAACAATGAGCACGCATGAATAACATGTAAGTCAACGTATTTTTATTTGAAATCACATACCAAACATTTACTAATTTGAGATATTATTATTATTTCCTACATTTAATTACTAATTTGATGGTCAAACTGTAATCACCATCAAAATTATTTACCCAAAAATAGGCCTGGGCTTTCGGTTAACCGTTCGATTATCGGTTGGGTTCATTCGGTTTCGGTTCTTTCGGTTTCAAAATTTAGTATCCATTCGGATATTTTAAAATTTTGGTTCGGTTTCGGTTCGGCTCCAGTTCTTTCGGTTTTAAAATTTAGTATCCATTCGGTTATTTTGCTTATGATATTTTCGGATATTTCGGTTATTTTTGAGTATTTTCAGGTATAATATTTTTAAGAATTTGACCAAAATGAAGATGTCTGAATTGTTTTAGCCACCTGTAAATGTTTAGATGGTCGATTCTTAAAAAGAAAAATAATAAATGACCAAAAGAAAAAAGAAAAAACGTATTGATCCATAAAATATTATACCTTTAGTCTATTATGGATCAGGCCCATTATCACAGCTTTCTTACAATTCGGCCCATCCAACTGTTTCGGTTCTTTCGGTTTCAAAATTTTGGTTTCAAAATTTAGTATCCATTCGGATATTTTAAAATTTTGGTTCGGTTTCGGTTCGGCTCCAGTTATTTCAGTTTTAAAATTTAGTATCCATTCGGTTATTTTTGATATTTTCGGATATATCCACGTCAGAGGCTCCGATTGTAACGCTGTTAAAACTCTTTGACACACGACCACTTATTATAACGCCACGTGTCAATGCACATCATCAGATCGCGCGTAACCGCCAGAAAACCGAAACCAAAGGTTCCATCTCCATCACGTCGCTTATCCGACCACGAAACTCACCACTGTTCTAAATTCTCTCTCTGTCTCTCTCTCTCTGTATTTTTTCTCAAGCAAAAAGCTTGGGTTTCTTCGTTTCTAATCTAAAATCATCGTAAGATATCTGTGAGATTCTTCAATTGAATCGGTATCAAGATATGGCGGGAAGTGAAGCTGTAGAAGATAAGGAGATAAAATCGGCGGTTTCAAGCTGTGAGGCGTATTTCGAGAAAGTACAGTCAAGGAAGAATCTTCCCAAATCTCTTCAAGAAACCCTAAACTCTGCTTTCGCCGGAATCCCCGTCTCCTCCTTCCCTCAAGTCCCCGGCGGTAGAGGTAAAGATATAAAGATCCCATTTTTCGATTTCTCCAATGGTTTAGATTCAATTTGTTTTTTTTTTTTTTTTTGGTAGTGATAGAGATTCCAGCGGAAACACCTGTGTCAGAAGCAGTAAAGATTTTATCAGACAGCAAGATTCTATCAGCTCCTGTGATTAACACAGATCACGAGAGTTCCTTAGATTGGAGAGAAAGATATTTAGGAATCATTGATTACTCTTCAATCATTTTATGGGTGTTAGAGAGTGCTGAACTCGCTGCAATCGCGTTGTCCGCTACGTCAGCAACCGCTGCTGGTGTTGGTGCTGGAGCTGTTGGAGCTCTTGGTGTTGCAGCGCTCGGGGTGACCGGTCCGGTTGCTGTTGCAGGGCTAGCAGCGGCTGCGGTTGGAGCCGCGGTTGCTGGTGGTGTTGCAGCTGACCGTGGGATTGGGAAAGATGCTCCAACTGCTGCTGATAATTTAGGGAAAGATTTCTATCAAGTCATTCTTCAAGAAGAGCCTTTTAAATCAACCACTGTAAGTTTTTAACAGAACATAACGTATTTGTGTTGCGATGGTTCTGATTGATCATAACTATGTTTATGTTGTCAGGTTAGAACAATACTTAAGTCGTTTAGATGGGCTCCTTTTCTTCCGGTTTCAACTGAGAGTTCGATGTTGAGTGTTATGTTGTTACTCTCGAAATACCGGTTAAGGAATGTGCCGGTTATTAAATCAGGAGAACCTGATATCAAGAACTACATTACTCAATCTGCAGTTGTTCATGGTCTTGAAGGTTGCAAAGGTAGAGATTGGTTTGATCACATTTCTGCTCTCTCGATTTCTGATCTAGGCCTGCCTTTCATGTCGCCGAATGAGGTAAAAATATAAACTCTAAGAACTCAAGACATTAGGCTCGTAAAGCGGTGAAACTGAACATGTTGGTTTCAGGTTATTAGCATTGAGAGTGAAGAACTTATTCTTGAAGCATTCAAGCGGATGAGAGACAACAACATTGGTGGTTTACCTGTAATCGAAGGGCCGAATAAGAAGATTGTTGGTAACATTAGCATGAGAGACATTAGATATTTGCTTTTACAACCTGAAGTCTTCTCCAATTTCAGGTCTGTTTTACTCACTTGTTTCTCATTACAACTTCTGGTAACAATGACTTAAATTTCTCTTTGTTGATGATAAAGACAACTCACGGTGAAGAGTTTTGCGACAAAGATTGCTACAGCAGGAGAGGAATATGGTTTAGCGATTCCTGCAATAACTTGTAGGCCTGATTCGACTTTGGGGAGTGTTATAAACAGTTTGGCTTCGAGGTCGGTGCATCGGGTATACGTAGCTGCTGGAGACGAGAATGAGCTTTATGGGGTTATAACACTGAGGGATGTGATCTCTTGTTTCGTATCAGAACCTCCAAACTACTTTGAGAACTGTCTCGGGTTCTCGGTTAAAGAAATGCTTAACCGATGATCTCTTGTTTCTCAGCTTTTTTTTTTGTTTGTCTTTGTTGTTTGTTCCTTCTTGGTTTAGATTCTGAAGTTGTTATCTTTATATCTAATTTGTAACCATTTTGAGTTTCAAGTTATATCGTCCATGATTTATGTTTAGAAATGTTTATGAAGTTTGAAATTTGCCTATACATGCATAAATCAAAACAAACCAATGAATGCAACAACTTATGAAGAGGGACTTTGCTATTGGTTTCACACAAAACCCTTAATTCTCTTGCTTTGATGTAATTCTTTCGTTTTCAATTATCCGAACTCTCAATGTGTCGTTTACACATAATTTTTTTTGGTCCTCTGTTCCTGAGACGACAACTTTTTAGATTTTGATATGGATATGGATGATCTAGGGCTTCTTAGGATTTACGGGTTCTTCTTATTCGTAATTCTGGTTCTGAGTTTGATCTAGCTCATGCCAAGATATGAATCTATGCTTTTCCCAATCAGATTATGCAAAGAATGTTTGATTGTTGGTCTTTAGTTTTGTTTCTGACTTGTGTTATCTTTGTGAATTTGAAGACATCAAGTGTACAAGATGTCAACTCCAGCAAGGAAGAGGCTTATGAGGGATTTCAAGAGGTTGCAGCAAGACCCTCCTGCTGGAATCAATGGTGATTCTCAAGATAACAACATCTTACTCTGGAACGCCGTTATCTTTGGGTAAAACAATTGCTTCTTATGATCAAGTAACGACTGTTTTTTTTTTTCTTGTCTTATTGTCTTGATTCTGATCTGCTTATGGAACTTGCAGTCCGGATGATACACTTTGGGATGGAGGTACAATTAAAGTGTATTCCTTTTGCATATTTGGCTAGATAAACATGGAACTATATAGATCAAATCCTTGTTAAGTACTAGTTCTATGTTTATATTTCTGGTACTTTTAAGTTGTATTATGACCCTTCAATTTACAGAGGATTATCCAAACAAGCCACCGACTGTTCGCTTTGTTACTCGGATGTTTCACCCAAATAGTAAGTAAGAATAAACAGAGAAATAATGCTTTGCTCTTATTTCTGTTTAGTGGTTTAATCTGTCTCAGTTACTTGATCTTTTAGTGACTACCGTTGTCTTGTTCAGTCTATGCAGATGGAAGTATTTGTCTTGACATCTTACAGAATCAGTGGAGTCCTATTTATGATGTTGCAGCAATTCTTACATCTATCCAGGTATTGTTCATCTTTCTCAATGTAAAACCACTTGATCATAACCAGTTTTACTGTTTTTGTTAACAATCTGCAGTCACTCCTCTGTGATCCCAACCCAAACTCACCTGCAAACTCAGAAGCTGCCCGCTTATTCAGCGAAAACAAGCGAGAATACAACAGACGAGTTGAACAGAGTTGGACCGCTAATTACTAAGCTATATCGGTAATCGAATCTTCTGCGCTCAGATTTTATAACATTTTAAGAAGTGGAGGTGATCAAACTGGTAAAACGACCGACATTTATCAATTTGTATATGTGTTTGTAAGTCTCTCCAATTCAATATAGAATAGATGGATTCTATAGTTGCGTGGATTCGATTTATAAGGAGGCCAAATGTTAAAAGTCAAATCGAGGAGTTTTAATCAGCTGGTGATTAAGATGAACAGAACCAATCATATAGTGTTCTGTCTCAAGATCTTAGTTAGGTTCTAAGTTTTTTCACAATCGTTTGTGCAAAAACTCAGATAAAGTTGATATTGTTTTAGATGATTCTTACTTCTAAAATGGCTTATTAATTGGATTCGTTTTTGTTATGCAATCATGGTGTTGTATTGTTAATATGTAATTCAATCACCGGTTTAAATTTTAGTTGAAATCACATGTTCATTTGGGTGGTTCTATTAACTAGTGAACTATATATATAACTAGTTAAACTCCAATGAAACATTTGTAGTTGCTAACTAAAAAATGAAATGACTCATTCATGTAACAATCACATTACTTTTCGTATACATGAAAAAGCTCATAACTCACCTGACCGTTGAAAAAACCGCTCAAACCTTTGGGTGCCAAGATGTCACCTAGAGTCCCCCCAAACACTTCAGTGTTCATCAGATTGATTTATCGGTCGATAGATCTTAGAACACAAACTCACAAAGTATGAACAATGAAGCGTTTAAGGGAACTCAAGGGGACAGTTGACTTTACATGTTATATATGTCTCTTTGCTAATGCTTCTTCTCTTACTCACTCAAGTTCTTAGTGAACACCCAAACTGCATATTTATATGTATGCTTATACCGCATGTTGTAGAGGAATTTTTCAGGGAGGGACCGTAGATTATATATTCTCCATTGAATAGCAAAACATGTATGTAAATATAAATGAAGATGAACCAAGTCGGAATTTTGGGAATAAGGAGCCAAGGAGAATATTATTATCGCCATTCTTCACAAGATCTTTCTTTCCTCCGATAGATCTTATTCTATTCTCTTTTTTGCGTAAGCAAAGAATATGTCAAGACACTTACAAAAACCAATGTAAAAAAAATGAAAGTAACAAATGTAAAAAATCTAAGAGAAGTATTTCATAAATTTCACAATATTCTTCCTATTTCATTTAAGTGTTGTTTTCTAATCGTGTGTAGAAACGTATCTTGCAAAAAGGCTGAAAGGTAAAAGGATTTATGCACTTTTCTTGAAAAAAGTGATTCCCTCACGTACACTTAAAGCCCTTAACCTAAATTCACGTCTACATTCATAATGCTTCCAATTTTATATATGAAACGCCAATGTCTCCATTCTCTTTCAAACCCTAACACCCTTGTAAACTCAATTTGGCCATTCCACCGAAATGTAATGTTCATTACATAAGAAACAAATATCGTTTTGGTCGGATGTTCCCTAGAGTTCCTCTGAGCACTTCATTGGAGATACCATTGTCTATGAAATAGTATTCTACTGAAGTGTTTGGGGGAACTCCTGGACTCATTCGATAATTTTAATTCACTAAGTTTGATTTGGTGTTACATATTGTTTGTTCGATATATAAGGTAAGAGATGAAGAAATATAGAATATCCAATTAATATCATATTGCCAAACTGCTTCAATTTGTTCGTTTTCACAGGTTCTGCGGTACCTTACTCACCCTACATACTGTCTATTCTAAAGAAATTTTTCAGTATGAGACTCAATTACGATTTTTTATTTATTTATGAGGTTATGAAAATCCGACACATCGTTTTGTTAATATTTTTCAATTTCACGTTTTTAACTAAACGCATTATATATTGACTCGGAGGAATTAGTATTTTTCACCCCGATCGACATGTAAGTTTCGAGATTTTAAGTACGTAGCTCAGAGTTTCTCCCTTTATTTTGAGTGTTCAACTTATTTGTTGTAGAGCGAATAAATTTTTCAAAAATTGTAAATGTAATCAACTTTCAGTCTTTCAGAGAAGATGAACAACTATAATGCTATGTGGCTTTATTTTTATGTTGAAAAATATTAACTAATGTAATCTTTTTTTCCTTTTATGACAGCATTAACTAATGTAATCTCTATATATTAATTAAGAAGCATTTAATATATAGTTCAAACGAAATGAAACAAAACAAAATCAAAAATAAATAGTTCAAACGAAATGAAACAAAGACAAAAACGAAATATAAGAGCTTCTATGAGAAGGAAAACACAACTGAATTCATTATCCCCTCTCAATGCGGCCGGCTGATCATGTCGACGTTGGGTAGACACACTCGTCTCAGCCAGATGGTTGTCCGGTGGTCACTTCAGTACTCTTTCTTGCAGGTTTGAGATTTTCGAGCTTTACGTCGAATTCCACGATTAGTAAGACTAAGACGTAAATGATTTTGAAAGCGAAAACCCATCTGAAATGCAATCCTAAAATGATTGATCTTTGGAAAAAATGCTGCCTACAAGATGTATATGAAAAATGTGTATTTGGAAACGTGAAAACAAAAAACTGTGGTAACTGAGTGAGTGGTGTAATAAATTATTTGAGTTTTAATATGATTTTGATGATTTTAGAAAACTTATGATTTGTTGTAAAATCTTGCAAGTCCCACTTAAAACCGTGAAATTTAGATCTTTTGAAATTCAGCCACCTAATCGCTAGACGATGGTGTACTGATGGGATAAGTATAAACTGATCAGTTACAAAAATCAGTTCTCTAATTTAATTTTGCCTAAACCGATTAATCCCCACCAAACATTTTTTTCCTTTTTCTTCAATGTAAGAAGCATTTCAAAAACACATATAACAACTGACACTTTTTCTTCAATGTTTTAAAGCCTTTTAGCAAAACCAAAGTCAAGTAAACAATTTCATGCTTTCTATTTCATATTTTGGGGTCCCCAAATGTTTATGAGTACCGGATATATATACACACACATTTTTCTCTGGTGAAAATCTATAATTATCAATAAGAAAACTTGCCTTTATATTTCGTTTTCGCTCGTACTGGGATGATCGAAAAGACGCAATAATATCACCATCCTGCTTGACAACAAGTGGAAAAAGTCGCTCAAACAGTTAGACGTGAAACAATGTATTCTTTTTGGTCACCATAGCCAGAGATGTAGAAAGGACCAGAGTAGCCTAGTTTCTTGAACGCCCTTTCTATAAGTTGACCCTTCAATTTACAGAGGATTATCCAAACAAACCACTGACTGTTCGCTTTGTTACTCGGATGTTTCACCCAAATAGTAAGTAAGAATAAACAGAGAAATAATGCTTTGCTCTTATTTTTGTTTAGTGGTTTAATCTGTCTCTGTTACTTGATCTTTTAGTGACTACCGTTGTCTTGTTCAGTCTATGCAGATGGAAGTATCATGTCTTGACATCTTACAGAACCAATGGAGTCCTATTTATGATGTTGCAGCAATTCTTACATCTATCCAGGTATCCTTTACCTTTTGATTATCTAGATCAATGTAAAACCACTTGATTGTAATCAGTTTTACTGTTTTTGTTAACAGTTTACAGTCACTCTTCTGTGATCCCAGCCCAAACTCACCTGCAAACTCAGAAGCTGCCCGCTTATTCAGCGAAAACAAGCGAGAATACAACAGACGGGTTAAGAAGATTGTGGAACAGAGTTGGAACATAATACAATAGAACTGAAGAATTGGAGGCGATTAAATTGGTAGTTACCGTTTGGAACTCCGTATAAAAGTTTTGGCATATTTCAAGAATTCCGTATGGATTTGGAAATGTTTCAATTCATAATAGTATATATGGAAAGTGTAGTTGAAACGAATTGCTTAACTAAGAAACGAAATGACTCACTCATGATAGATCACTAACCACATTACTTATCTTCTTCATGAAAAGGCTCATACGAACTCACCTGAACCGTTGAAAACACCGTTGACAATTAATATAACCTTTCGGTGCCATATGTCACCTAGAGTCCCCCCAAACACTTCAGTGTTCGTCAGATTGATTGAATCGATCGATTGATCTTAGACAACAAAGTGTGAACAATAAAGCGTTTAAGGGAACTCAAGGAGACATTTGACTCTACATATTATGTCTCTTTTGCTAATGCTTCTTCTTTTACTCACTGACCTTAGTGACAACCCAAACTGCATATTTATAGATACTTCTCCATGATATGTTTTTTCTTTTTGTTTTTTTTTTTAAGAGAGGGACCATATATTCTATATTCTCCATTGAATAGCACAACATGCGGAAAATATGAGGGTGAACCAAGTCGGAATTTTGGTAATAAGGAGCCAAGAGAATATTTATATCACCACTTTCCTACATTATAAGCACATTCTTCATAAAATATCTTTTGACCCGTTGATTTCTTCAACTCTGTTTAGTTTTTTCCCATGTAATTGCGATTTAAATCGAGTTACAAAAGCCAATGTAAACAATAATGAAAGTAACAAATGTTAAAAAAATAAGAAAGTATTTTAAGAATGGAACTTCACTATGGTATATTTTAATAATTATATAAACTATACGAAGAAAGTTTTCCCTAATAATTGCCTTTAAGACCATGTACATAGCTGATATAATGAGAGTATCAGGAGCCTATTAATTATTTTTTAATAGATTAGAGTATCAAGTTGGGCCTGATCAGTATCACTGGAGTGATATTTCTGATACCCAGTATCAGGTGACGTGGCGGCAGCTGATTCGTCTGAGAAATGCGTTTTTCCTTGAAAGTAGAGAAAAAAAAATTCATATTTGGCAAAAATGGGGTCAAGGTAATTGACTTCGAGCGACTAAATTATTTTTATCATCATGTTTTTTTAAAGTTTTTTTGAATTTTATGTTTTATTTTGCTTAAGTATATTCTACGGTTTTTTAATTCTAACAAAATTTTACCCCGCTGTACACCGCGGGATGATTTATTGTTAAAAGTTAGTATATATAAATTTTTATAAATTGTATCTCCTTATAAAATATTTATGTATTATATGATGATTCAAAACAGTTAAAAACAAATTAAACAAAAATGATAGAAGAATCATAATTCTAAATCTTAATCAAATCTTCTAAGTATCTAAATTATTAAATATAGAATATACGGTGTATGAGTTGGGTTAGATATAACCCGACCCAAGAAATTTTTTGTAATCCTATGTTTTTATATATTTATTTTTGATTTTGCAAATAATTTTTTTTTATGATACTTAAGCCGGTCTCACCAATGCAAACATATTTAGTAGAAGTATCATAAAAAATCTCAAACAATAAACAAACATTATAAATAATACTAAAAAATTCCTAATGATACTATATGGGTATCACCCATATACATGCTCTAACGCTGTACATACCTCATATCTGCATTTTCAAACAAAAAATTGCTGTGTCCGCGTCTTTCAAATTAATGTACGTGAATTATGTTAAGAAGGAATATAATATATTTTTAATTTGGTAAAAATAATAATCGGTCGCGAAAATAAATTGTCTTTACGTGTCTATAATTTATCGTAAAATTGAAATAGCAGTAGTGTATACACAAAAGAAGCAAAAAAATTCATATGTGCATTTGCATGTATGGGACTGTACATGTATGTACATTCATTGGCATCTATGCGTTTATAGAAACTTCTTTCTTATCTTACAAAAAGCTGAAAGGAAAAAGGATTTATGCAACTTTTCTTGAAAATTTTGATTCCCTCATCTAAAGCCCTTAACATGAATTCACGTCTAAGTTCACAATGCTTCCAATTGTATATAATAAACACCAATCCTTCCATTCTTTTTCAAACCCTGAAACTCTTATAAACAGAATTTGCTTATTCCACCGAAATGTATACGCAATACATTGATAACGTATATTAGATATACAAACAAACATCGTTTTGGTCGGATGTTTCCTAGAGTTCCTCTGAGCACTTCATTGGAGATACCATCTTTTATCAAATGGTTTTCTACTGAAGTGTTTGGGGGAACTCCCGGACTCATTCGATATTTTAAATTCAGTAGACTAAGTTTGATTTGGTGTTACATAAGGTAAGGGATCAGTTAATATAGAATATCGAATAAATTTCATGTTGCTAAAATGCTTATTTGTTCTTCTTCTCAGGTTCAAAATTGGTCAAGTACTGCTAACTTAATTAATAACTCTATTGATTATTGTATAGAATTGTTGAGTTGTTAAAAAGAAATTTTGGATGATGTTGAGAAGATCCGAAGACATGTTTTAGAGATTTTTTTTTTTTCATTTTATTTGATATTTTTCAAGTTAACTTCTATGTAAAGTTTAAATTTATTTTGACATAATACAAATGATCACAAGTTTTTTTTTTAAATGCATTGTTTGTCACGTTAAAGGCTTTTTTAGGGAAATAATTTCGACATGATCATATCCAAATTATGTCCAAAAGAAAACTGATATTTCCAAGTCTCATACGTACCAGCTTGTAGGAATAATTTAGATATGATGATGATGAGCTTGTGATCCGATGTGGATGAGTTTGACCAGAGAGTTATGTCATCGAAGCTGATTGGTGGAGACTGGAGAGAGATGTACACTGTTGGTGAAAGAAAATCCCAGATCTCCTTGGCCTAATCACAATCAAAGAACAAATGAATTTCTGGATTCCTCACCAATTCCTTAAAGTAGCTAGACAGTCCGGCCTGGTTTTGCTCGAGGAGATGTTGTCCAAAGAAAGATGTCTTCTGTCGTTGAGGAAGTGTCTGGTGGTGACAAAGGAAGGCAGGCTTTCAAAAGTGAAAGGATCCGGTGACGGCCCCTAGGCAACTTCCAAGAACCTTGATGAACTACTTGGGCAATATGAGAAGCAAGAAAAAAAGAATATCTGACCCTCGCAGACTTGCCTCACCCGTAAGGTCGATTAATGGCTCAAGAGATTTCCAGTTATCGTGCCTAAACAGAGCCAACCAGATCCCAACTGACAGGCAATGAACTCATTTCCATATCCAGCTTCCACCCACAAAAGTCAGCTTAAAAAAAA